AAATATATATATTATATCCATCCATACATATATCCAAATAGAAATGGCTACTCTTTAAAAAATGAAATTGAATTTAATAAAGTTTAAAAATAGTGACCAACGTTTCAGTCCCCATTCGGGACTTTCTTCAGGGTCAAAAAAATAACAGGACAACAAATATGCATACCAACAAGTATTATATACCCATATAATGAAACTAAAGCTCACCCCGGTGCATTACACCCACCTCCCATCGGAACCATAGGAACGTCCGTGTATGCTCCCGCACTCGCTCACATGCTCCGCCCCGTGCATATTGACGTCATGTGGAGTCCGATCATCTTGGTGACCTATACACACCAATCCTCCTCCTGTACGAGGAGAGAATTTAGTTGTATAGGGAGAGAACCAAGCTGTGAGCCCAATTGTAAATAAATGATTAGTGCTATTCAGGACAGTGATACAGTGCAAGCATGCTGAAACATGCTAAAATGTTATAGAATAGAGGAAAGGGTATCTAAACCCAAATATGAATAATAAGGAACAACCTAATATTCTTATGTTTAAAGTGACTTTAGTCTAATTAATAAATCAGATAGTGATGCTGTAATCACAATATTCAGTGATATAGTGTTTAAAGTTTATGCATTACAAAGTGCTTAAGCCAAAAAAGTGATATCATGCATTTAAAGTGACAAAGTGCTGTGCCATATTTCGAAAAACCAAACATAAATAAAACTAACTAACTATGTTATGCATACATACATAAATAATATATAAATGCACATACAACATCTACATCATAGAAACTACATCCAATTTGTATTTATTCAGCTTTATTTTCATAATATGGGTATATATTACTTGTTGGTATGCATATTTGTTGTCCTGTTATTTTTTGACCCTGAAGAAAGTCCCGAATGGGGACTGAAACATTGGTCACTATTTTTAAACTTTAAAAAATAAAAATAAAAATGAAATTTTATTTAATAAAGACCGGTGAGCAGCCATTTCTATTTGGATACTGTGTTATATGGGGCTCTGGTTGATGCGCAGGGCAGTGAAGCGGTTAAAGCGTGAGTGCAGGGGATTTTTGTGTATCTCTCTCTCTCTCTCTCTACCCTCCAACCCCACAGACCCACAATCATTCTCCCCCATACACACACACACTGCCCAAGAACAGAAGGGAACAATTACATTTGAATGCAGGGGGACATTAGATGATACAAGGTATAATTAAGGGAACACGTATGAGGAGTACCATGACTGTCTCCCATGACTGTCATTTAACACTACAGGCACCAAGACCACTTTATCTCATTGAAGTGGTCTGGGAACAGTGCCCCATCTGTTTATCTCTACAATGTGGCTCTTTCTCTACCTACACACACTCTGCCCTCCACACACACACACCGCATCTATTACACATACCATTGTTTTTTACTGCTGGCTGATGCCGGTCCACAAAATATTTCTCCTCTTGTCGCCGGGCTGGGGGTGCTAAAAGGTTGCAGAACACTGATTTATATCATACTCAGCCATGTGCTGAGCAGCTCTGTGATACATTCCTACTCTCTACACATAACTGTGAGATTTCCTTACTAAACACGGTACTTTAGTGTGAGATTTGTTATTGTGGAGCTCTGTGAAACAGTTAAACATTGCACATTATTATGAGTTTTATTGCTGTGGAGCCCTATAACACATTCTTTTTCACACTGCACATTTCTTTGAATTTTATTTATTTATTTTTAAAATCGATTTATTTATTTATTTATTTATATAACAATAATCTGTTGCTTATGTACAGGTTCGAGGTATGTGCAAAATCACATAATTGATTACATATCATAATAAACATATAACCCAGAATAACAAACAATAACAAAGAAAGAAAAGATAAGCCAACATTAAAAAAACAGAAAAAAACCCTGTTCAGAGCAAGAGAATAATCATGTAGAAAGAAAAATGATAATTGACAATAGTACATTATTTTCATTGTTTCTATGTCCACATTCCTTTACACCTCTATAGAACTAACTATAATATAGTTAAAATTTAACATACGCATCAGCAATAATTTTGTATATTAAAAAACAAAAAATTTGTATATTGTTTACAAAGATACTGTCTAGGGCAAAGACTGGCCAAAAATATGTTGGTATCTTCCTAGCCAGTCGGAATACCAGACTTTTTTTTGGGACGAAATTGTCATATTATTTATAAGTTCATATTCCATATTGATTTGAAACATAATTTGTTTTTGGAATGGAATAGAAGTTTTCCACTGACGCGCAATGATGATTTTAACAGTGACTAGACAATGTGTAGTAAAGCAAATATCTTTATGTAATTTAAGGTTCCAGTTTAGGTGTAGAAGAGCAGAGACATCATTTTCGTTAATTTTATTAGTTGTCATGGTGGTGAAGAAGTTGTATGCCCATGACCATAATGGTCTAACTACAGGGCAAGACCACTAAATATGTAAATATGTACCCTGATAACTACCACATCTCCAGCAAGTAGGATGATGGGAATCATACATTTTAGCTAATCTGGTCGGAGTGTAATACCAACGATGAAGAACCTTGAAGTGGCATTCGGTCAGATTTAAACCATGTACATACTTGTTTAACTGTGTTAAACTATGAATTTTATTTTATGGTTGAATAGATTAAAAGTGAGAAGGGTTTGTTTTCCTTTACATTTCAATTGCTTATATATAGTCAAAGTCATTACCTTTCCTCTCATCGACTGTCAAACTCTGTATTTATATATGTGTATGTATGTGCGTGTATATGTATGTTTGTTTGTGTATCAATCTTGGACTCAAGGACTTCAAAGAAATAGCAGCTTTGAGCAGATCACACACTAGCCTTCAAAAAAATGTTTACTCTAGGGTCTTGATATAAAACAACATACTGCTGTACAATTTCTTATGGCGATTTGTTTTTTTTTTTTTTTAGTTTGTAGATCAAATTTTCATCAAGTCCTGCATAGGGCTTGTGGGGAGCATTGAGGAAAATGACCTTGGGGCATCTCTGATGGTAAGTCCAGCCTTGGACTTGGTATGAATTGCATGTTAAAGACACTCTTGTATACGTTCAAGTAGCTGAAAGCTATTTGTAATGGCTGCTGATTCAAGATTGTAAAGTGATTATTTCCTCTGCTTGATGAGGGGCTTTGAGACTTTGCATATTTTAAATAATATGTCATTGTTTTATCTGGGTATACGTTTGATTTTTGCAGCTTTTATTCTTTTGTTATTTGGGTAGAACTATATGTAAACAAAATAGTGTGGTGTAAACACTTCAGTACATTAATATAATATCTAAAAAATAAAATAAAAAGGTCAACAAATACAAAGACTAATATAAAATATGCAATGTTTAAAGGACCACTATAGGCACCCAGACCACTTCAGCTCAATGAATTGGTCTGGGTGCCAGGTCCCTCTAGTTATAACCCTGCAGCTAAAAACATAGCAGTTTCACATGTTTCACTGAGGGTTAGTCCAGCCTCTGGTGGCTGTATCACTGACAGCCGCTAGAGGCGCTTCCGTGATTCTCACTGTGAAAAGATGCTGGACGTCCATAGGAAAGCATTGAATAATGTTTTTCATATGGGCTGTTTGAATGCGTGCGCGTCTCTTGCCGCGCATTTGGATCTTACGTAGGCAGGGGGTGGAGAGTTCCCCAGCACAGAGAGAGCCCGGGGCTGAAGAAAGTTAAGTGGCTGACGGGGTTTTAACCTCTTCAGCCCAACGGGAGGGTCCTAATGACCCTATAGTGCCAGGAAAAACGAGTTTGTTTTCCTGGCACTATAGTGCTCCTTTAACATAATGTAGGTTATGTTTGATTCAAATGTATGTATGTTAGATGTAAGTATGCGGACAGGCTAAACTACATTTATACCTTTTTTATATTGGTGCTTGGGGGGCTTAGACCAAATTAGGTAACCAAACATTTTTGCAAAAGCAAGTGCTGTTTTTGAACTCCCATTCAAACTTACCTGTTTTAGTACAACTCTCCCTTAGCTCCTCTAATAGACACACGCACTAGTAATCATTCTATTGTTACTCTATAATTAACAAGCCATTCTAAACACACTGTGATAGATTTGTAAGTAACTATATGATTAAAAATGAATAAAAATTGGATAAAAGATGTTCTTATGTCACTCATGGTAAATAATTTACATAGATCTGAATAATTTAAACCAACTTGTTATGCGCTATATAATATTATTTGTTTAAAGTTCTTACAGTTATTGCATTATGATTGAATGTCACTTTGAATATGTAAGTAAAAAAAACAAAAAGTAAAAAAAAAATAAGTCTGAAAGGTGAGCATTTTAATCTGGTGAAAGTAAAAATATCAGAGTAACAGGAAAATAAATGTAGTAATTTACTTTTTTGTCACTGCTGAATGTTGTAGTAAAAATAGTTGGCACTACAATAGTTTATCAACAACAAAAAGACTGATTGTGCATTTATAAAATGTATTTAGTTTTAAATTTTGTTACTAAAAATATCCTTGGATTGTCTAAAGAGCTTACATTTATAACCCCTTAATGACCCATGAATTCAATTAATCTTTAAAAATAAAAACTGAACAAGTTATAAATCAAGCCCTGTTTTTTTTTTTTTTCACAAAACACATGGCATACTTTGCAGTTAGTTTTCTTCTGTAAGCACTTATCCTGTGGCTCTGTGTCAGTGCAATTAAATGAAGTTCCTAAACAGTGTATGTATACTTGTCAATTCATGGATACACTGTGCACTAATTTAATACCTGTTCCACATCAATTCATTCACATTACTGCACTGTTCACGTTTGTGACTTTTTTACTATTTGTTCTTGTGAAATTGTGTTGATGGTTTCACTGTGGAATATAGCAGCACTGCTTGTATTTTGTGTGTTCACAGAGCCTGTTCATACCACATATTTGTCTTTTGTTTGTTGTAGCTTCAGAGGTCCTGCATGACGACTTACCTCTGAGTCAACCACATGAGGTTGAGTGGAAGACCGCTGATACATCTCCTAAACATGTTTGCCTGAAAAAAACAGCGTCAGCGGGAGCCTATCTTGGTGTTGGTGACAATAGGCTCCTCAAGGGATTGAGGTTGCCTGAAGTCAGCTTACTGGGTTCTTGGAGCAACTCTGATGGTACACACAAGTCTATCCTATTGCCATGCTGGGATATAGCATCTAATTCTAAGTTTCTAAGTGGGCTAGTTTTCCCAATTGTGGGAACACCAGTGTGGGACTTTGCTTGGCCCCAACAGGGCTTCAGTGGATCAACATGCTGGGAGTAAGACTCACCCTGGCATCCTATCCTATTGACACCGGTTGGACACTTGCCCTACTTTAGGGTTACACTTTTATTTTGAAGCTAAATCTCAAACGTATTAATTTCTATTGTTTTTGGTGGAGCACTAGCATTGTGGACTCATAGGGGGCTCCCTGGAGCCGTTCTGCTCATTAAGCAGTTGATCTTAACTATTCATTTTCCAGATTATGTAATTACATGTCTAGTATATAATACCCAATTCTTGTGTTTTGCCGAGCATTTAGGCATGATTGCCTAGCATGTTTATTTAAAAAAAAAAAAAAAAGTCAACTGGGGAGTAACATAAAAACCGTTTTAATGGCTACTATATTTGCTATAACTTTTTTTTTCTGTACCGTGTTGTACTTTGTCTCAATAAAAGAAAGACTGACAAAAAAAGTTTCCAAAATAAACAGCTAAATTGCAATGTGAATGTAAAAAATGGGAAAATATGATAATTCCATAAAAGTTTAAAAGAAAAAGGTGCAAAACTTCTTGTACAATAAGACTCACCAAATTCTCTTCTTTTTTTTAACATTCTAACTCAGGTCTCATATATGGCACTGTAATTACACAATTGGCAAAGTGATATAAGCAAGCATTTATTAGGGTATTATTTTATCCAGAGCTATCATAATCGGGGGTGGGGGAGTTAATCAAACTGACACATATCAGATTTCCAAAATGCACAGCAAAAAAAATGCAAAAAAAGTTTAAAGAAATATTACAAACATTAGTTGGTAAAATGTCGGTATTATAAGGCTCAATATAGATCCTATAAAATTACTTGGAGTGTCTAATTTCACAAATAGTAGTCTTTTGTGGGATAATTTGGACAGTCAAACTTCTATAACTGCTTGATCCAAGGATACATCTGCATCAGCACCACACCAGACACCATAAGCATTGCAGATCCCATGAACTGCCGAAATGAGACTTAAAATTATTTATAAAGGTGTGGGAAGACCAACACTGACACAAACCTCTTCTGCCTGCATAAGCCATGATATGCAAATCTACTTGAGTATGCAAATTAATAAGCCTTACTATTTAGGTAGTGCACATAACTCCTGTATGATCATTGACAACAAACAGGTGGTACTGCACAGTCTTGAAAGATTATTCAAAACTAACAGCTGGTACTACACAGGCCCCACAGACAATTCCACCTAGTTGGTACCAGTGGCATCTCTAGGATTCATTTTTCGGGGGGGCACATGGAGGGCCAGTGACAAAAGTAGGGGGGCACATTTAACCCCGCCCTCGCCGCATTTTGACCCCGCCCCTGACACATGTTAAGCCACGCCCCCGACACAATGTGTTTTGTTTTTTTAATAATACCTGGTGGAGGATTCATTATTTTCCACCAGGGATTATTTAAAAAACAAACACATTATCCTTGATACAGTGCCATAGTTGCCAACATTTGAAAAAAAAATTCCAAGGACATTTTGCAGCACAGCTATCAATTACTGTCTGGGTATAATATCCCTGGACAGTCAGTGCTCTCTGTATAATACAGGGTTGTGTGTATAATAAATTGGGACACTCAGTGTTCCCTGTATAGTGCTGCTCTCTGTATAATACAGGTCTGTTTGTGTATACTATCCCAAGACAGAGAGCAGCATTATACAGAAAGCACTGATTATCCCGGGATATTTTATACACACAGATCTGTATTATACAGATAGCTGAGCATATACCCCAATCTCTAGACTACTAGTACCTGTCAACAGCAGCTCACACAGATTATTCAGCGGTAAAGTGCACTCGCTGGCAGAGCCAAACTGGGAATCCCAGGGAATCCAAAGCAGCCCTGGAAAAAAACGTATGCCATTCCTACAAGTCAAAACATATATATATATATATATATATATATATATATATATATATATATATATTACAGTAAGCACACAAGCTCACTGACATGCGCAAATAGGCTTACTGACAGACAAAACTCTCTGACTCACACACAAGCTTACTACAGACACTCACTTGTATAAACAGAAGGCTCACTACAAAGAAGTTCAGGGACACACACACAAGCTCACTAAAGACAAGCTCACTGACACACACATGCTCACTAAATAGAAGCTCACTGACACACACAAGCAGTACCATTTTAACAGAGTTAAGGGCCCCTGGGCAAAGCAATACACTGGGGCCCTTCCTACACAACAACTCACAGGAATTTTAATTATTGATAGACTGCGGAGTCCATACACACACACAGACTGCTGAGTCCATACACACACACACACACACACTGCTGAGTCCATACACACACACACAGATTGCTGAGTCCAATCACACACACACACAGATTGCTGAGTCCATACACACAAACACACACAGACTCTGCTGAGTCCATACACACACACACACACAGACTCTGCTGAGTCCATACACACACACACACTCTGCTGAGTCCATACACAAACACACACTCTGCTGGGTCCGTACACACACAGACTGCTGAGTCCATACACACACACAGACTGCTGAGTCCACACACACACACACACAGACTGATAAGTCCATACATACACACTGACTGCTGAGTCCATACACACACAGAC